TCTGTCATCTCTTTAAACGTTGACTGGCCGAGAGCTTTCGGCAAACCTCGGCTGATTCAAACAAGAAAGGGGGAAAGAATAAATACAAATTGTAAAGCCTGTAAGCAATGAAAATCAAAATTTATTTACAATGAAATTGAAGAGACGTTTGTAGCTATTGCTATAAAAAAAATCATGTTATTAGGAATTAATTACTGCTGATTTTGTTGTTCGTTTTGTCATTTTTTTAAGATTGAGGTGGCAGAGGATAGTTTTTTTTGCAATCAAAACGTTTGACTGACGGTTTACTTAATATTGAGCTGCTTTAAAAATGTGCATTGAAAAATTTTAAATTCCCTCTACATGTAATAATAGTATGATGTAGTCCCTTGAGAAATTTGAAGCTTTTAGGAATAAAACATGTACAACTTACACAATGAGCCCTAAAGATGGCGCAGGGACAATCTCAAAATTTCATGTGAATCAAGCCTATTTTCACTATTTCGCCGCAGCTGCGTCTGCTTCCAGGCCCGTGCGCCTGACCTAAGCTACCATACAAATTGCAGAATAACATTTGTACATACCAATGAACAGCAAGAGATAATGGCTCAACCACCTCGTTTTCAAGCTACAATTCATCCTGTGAACCCACCCCGCTTTTCTGGTGAAATACCGGTAGAGCGAGTTTTGAGCTTAGTTTCGTATTTCTAGTCCATATCCTATATACAGTAGTAGTGACACTAAAGTGTCATATTTCAATAAAATATACAAGGCCACCAATTCCCTCCAAATGCACCCATAAAATATTCTAGCTATAAAATTACCTATGATATGCATTCAAACCTCAGGTTTCTCTATTTCTTCTATTTTTTGACCGGTACTTTATTCGAAACTATCCTCTGCCACCTTTAACTTTCAAAGTTTGTCTTGCAAGTAATAAACCTTGCTCAATTCAAAAAGAACATGCAATTCTGAGTAAATATATACCAAATATGTCTTGATATATTGAAAAATAAAAAAGTTATGGGCAAATAAGAGACCTCACCAATTCTCGGTCAACCACCTTAACCCCATATTGTTTATTACACATAAAACAAATGCAATTCTTACAACTCCAAATGATGAATATACCAGCAAAAAAGTGTTAAATGGTAATTTTAATCTATTTCAAATACATTTATATGTAAAAAGTCAAATATAAAGGGCACATCTTGGTGAAATGTACTCACATGTATCACATACTCCCCTATTTTTCATGTTCTATGAAATTCCATTTTATCTCTTTTTCACTTGGTTTTATATACCTATAACTTCTTTGCAAAGTTAAAACCCCTTTCAACTTTCAAAATATTTATCATGATATGCAAAAAACCCTCTTGCATCATATGCTAAAGAAAAAGTGTCCAGGAAATAGCTGTTCAACACCCTACCCCTGCAGCCATTTCTTCAGTGTAATGAAAATGCACTGTAAAAATTTGTTTGTCCTACCTGAATTCTTTCTAAGTGTCTGATATTCACTTTTAACAGTTATGAGTAATCAAATACATACATTCAATTCTTCTGAATACTACAAGTGATTATTCTGTCCATCCTGGGCAATTGTGGGCAGATTATATGGGCCTAGCAGAATTCAATAATTACATGAAATTGCACATTTTATTGATATTACTTCATTAAATATGCAATATAAACTCTTTGTTTTGTTATTATTCAAAGAAAAATAGTCATTTTATAGCAAACTATTCAAAAATTTAGATTCTGTCACATTTAAATATAGATAAATTTAAAAATTGAAAAGGGGGGGGCATATTTTATGAAAATATCAATAACAGAATAGGTTAAATTTGGAAAAATAAAGCAAAAAAAGTTTTTTTGTGCTATATATGATTAGATTTAGTGACATTTAGGTATGCTGACTGATTTTCATTTTCAAAATAATTATATTTAGTGAATTGGGTTGAAAAAATTGCAAATATATGTAATTTCAGTGATATCGCACTAATTAATACACTTAAATTTTAATTAGATTTAATTAATTAAAGCAAGACATGATTTTAATTATGCGGCAATACCCAAAGTATCAAATTCAAACAATTAATTTATTCTCTGGCAAAAAATGCCTGGATCTTATATGATTTATTATGCTGATGGTTCAAAGTCTTTAAAAATGTATGCTGGAAAAGAGTAACCGCTCTTGCTTTTTAGTGAATAAACCTTACCTGCTTACTGTACAGATTTTAAATAACAGAAACAAAGTATTTTTTTTAAATTGACTTACATAAATAAACCCTTTTGTATAAAAATCAGACTAAAATTCACATTTCTAAAAATTGATGCATTCTTGAAGGTGGCAGAGGATAGTTTTTTTTGCAATCAAAACGTTTGACTGACGGTTTACTTAATATTGAGCTGCTTTAAAAATGTGCATTGAAAAATTTTAAATTCCCTCTACATGTAATAATAGTATGATGTAGTCACTTGAGAAATTTGAAGCTTTTAGGAATAAAACATGTACAACTTACACAATGAGCCCTAAAGATGGCGCAGGGACAATCTCAAAATTTCATGTGAATCAAGCCTATTTTCACTATTTCGCCGCAGCTGCATCTGCTTCCAGGCCCGTGCGCCTGACCTAAGCTACCACACAAATTGCAGAATAACATTTGTACATACCAATGAACAGCAAGAGATAATGGCTCAACCACCTCGTTTTCAAGCTACAATTCATCCTGTGAACCCATCCCGCTTTTCTGGTGAAATACCAGTAGAGAGCGAGTTTTTGAGCTTAGTTTCGTATTTCTAGTCCATATCCCATATACAGTAGTAGTGAAACTAAAGTGTCTATATTTCAATAAAATATACAAGGCCACCAATTCCCTCCAAATGCACACATAAAATATTCTAGCTATAAAATTACCTATAATATGCATTCAAACCTCAGGTTTCTCTATTTCTTCTATTTTTTGACCGGTACTTTATTCGAAACTATATCCTCTGCAACCTGGAAATCTTGCAAAATTGTTAAGTCGTACGAAAATTATATCATCAGAAATTTATCTCCCTTGCCTTGAACAGCATTTCAACCAATGAAATAATTGAAAATTTTCTCATCATGCAATTTCTACCAATCACAAAAGAGAGGAAGTGCATAGTCCGAAGACTGTAAAAAACTTCAACTATACAATACCGTCTTCCAAGGAAGACAGTAATAAACTATTACTATGTATGTGTGTTTTAAGTGTTTTTGTGTGGGAGGTGGGGTTGTTCTGATAGACATTTTTCCTGATTGGAACTTCCACTCAAACTCACCCAAAAGTTCACTGACTTCATTGATTTCATTTTCATTTTTTACTGCATCTGCTAAAACAAATCACTTCATAAAAAAGAAACCAACATTTTCTTTCTTTTTGTCACTTTTAATTATTTAAAGGGTTTTATTATTGGATATTTTTTATTATTCCTTTCAAGAAATTGTAATTATAAAAGTTAAACCGGTTTTGAAAAAAAAATGTATGTGTACTCACCTGAAAGTTTTTCATTTTCAATATTTACATTTCCATTAGCTAGTCCACCTAATAAAAAATACATGTTATAGTAATTTATGTTAAACAGAGATACTCTGTTATATGAGGTACGAGTGTAAGGCTTAAATTAATGTAACCTAGATAGAGATATAGATACTAGAATCTTTCATCAAATAGTGAAATACATGTAAAGTCATAAACATGTACATAAATGCATTTTGATGGAATATTTTAAAAAACAAATATATTTTCTTCCAAAAGATGCACAAAAAATATTCTATAAATTACCATTGTTTCCCTTTCTGCATCTTTTTTTTAAATACGCCAGGATAATGAGGACTCCAACAACACATACCACTACAACACCTATAATGCTCCCTACAATGGTGCTCACAGGGAGAGATTCATAGTAGAGGACTCATCTCCTGAACTTTGGATTTATCAAATGGGGGAGTTTTTCCAATACCATGGAAGCTTTTGTTGACCTGAAATGGTGTTCAAAGAGGGAAGTTTTTTCCATTACTGTTGTAGTTATGGTTGACCTGAAATAGTGTTCATTGGTGATTTCTTTTGTTGAATTTATTTTTTTAATATAAAACTTAGATACATATGAGGTAAATTACACATACCCTGGCTTTGAAGGTGAAGTCAATGATCCTTTTTCAAAACAAATAGGGTCTGAAAAAAAAGAGAACACAATATGCAACCTTCTTTAGTGTACATGTATATACTAAAAGTTCAGTTTTTTTAGCAAGAGTTCTCAAAAAAAAAATTAATATTTTCTTGATAAACAAAATGTTTGATATTAAGCCATCAAATTACATTAATGTATCATTAAATCATAAATGATATTTAAATGTCCACCTGGACTACTATTAACTTATATATTTACAAACTGAATGTAATAAAACCACCAAAGCTTTACTATGTTTTTTTGTATTTTCTTTATTTATATTCAGCAGCTGCACATGTTGTAAAGTTTTATTTACCAATTTTTTTTTATAAAATTTTGGGTTTTTTAAACATCAAAGGTCAAATCAATTGTTTGAAGATAAGTCAAGGTATAAAATAGCTGAAGTTGATAAATCAGAAAAACCCGATCAAGCAAAACAAAATATTTCCGTTACATGAGATGTTTTAAGTCCACATCTAAGCTATAATGCTTAGTACTAGTTAAAAACAATTCTAAATTTCCTCACAGAGTAAAAAAAATCTTCAAAAGACAAAGATGATATTTAGTTATTGCTTGTGCATGATTTTTTTTTAGTGTAGTCAAAAGATCCTTAACAAGCTCTATGACAGAAACATGTTTGTCAGCTTTACTATTTTGTTTTCCTGTTTTTAAAAGGAGTTCAATGAAATACAAAACTTCACTTTAAATGCTGAAGATTGATGCATGTATTACCTTCTCTATAAAAAAAAACACAATGAATATGAGAGTATGGTACTTAAATGATATTTATTTTAATGGTTTCAAGCATTTATAGTATAGTGATAATGGTAAAGCTAAAATCCCTACGTTTTTTGTTATATCTATTTTAATGTACATCTGTCAATAAATGTTAATAAAAATTAAACAAGATACAATATCAAATAATCTGCAATTGATGCAATTAATTTTTAATATAATATTTGCATTTTTAAAGCTATAGAACTTTTTTTAAAATTACTGTCATAAAAAAATGTTAGTCAAATTGTAATAAAAAAAATATTAACGAAATATTAAATTATAATAACTTTATAATTTCACGCATGCAAATAATGGACTTACACATGAATACAGCGTTGGACCAATAGAGAGAGGTGGGACAGTTATTAACGGTACACTGGTACACGTCAACTCGGGACACTCGAGAGTTGAATTCTGGACACATTTCTACATATAACGAAGAGAGTATAAAAATACAAATATTCGTGATAAACTTATATGGATTCTTGAAAACAAGTATTTCCAAAAGGGTATGGATTGGTATGAACATCATATCTGCAAATTTGAAAAGCTGTGTCATAGATGGCAGTCATGGTATTTATCACAAAAACTTCACTTTTATAGCTATTTAAAAAAACAATTGATTAATCAAAAACCAAGTACTTCTTTTTTCTTTACAAATGTTTATATTACACAAGTACTAGAAGTTTAATAAAAGTTTAAAATTTAATGTGAAAATTTCTTTAAAGTTGAATTCTGTAGTGGATGTAGATGCATGTGTTTATAAGACATACGCGGCTGTATCCAGACGCGAGGTAGACACTGCTCCGTGTTAACTCCGGACTCATCTCTCAGACAATGGTAGAAGTTGGGGGCTGACACTGAAGACCACGTGACGCCCTGTCCCAATCACTAGCTGAACTGGGGCACTTAAGGGGGCCAACAACTCCAGCTGTTGTCATCAATAGCAGGGTATATATAACTCCTGACCGTTGAATCATGTCTATTGCACTGAATGAAAAAGGTATGGAGATAACAAACAGTATTCAATATCAAAGTCCATAAAACAATACAAAACAGAAGCAGAGCAAACACGGACCTCCGGAACATCAGAGGTGGGATCAGGTGCCATGGAGGAGTGAGCATCCCTGTGACCGGTACACCCCTTTGGGGTTTCCTTGATGATCGGGTAACGCAAAAAGTTGCAATTTTTCATAAAAATGGACTAAAAATTTTATAAATAGTCATAACATTTACTAATAAAAATTTTATTTCTACGGGTCTTTGTATGACCATAGAAACAAATTCCAAAAGGATATGGATTGATATGAGCATCATATCTGCAAATTTGAAAAGCTGTGCCAGAACAAATTCTAGTAATCACGGTAATACATGTAACACAGTAAAATAATGTACAGTAAATACTGTGTTCAAGACAGTGAAAATTACAAAACCCAGAAGGCTCATTCGAGATTAAAGCGAAATACGAATTCAAAATTCGAGATTCGAAATTCGATTTCGAGATTCAAGATCCAGATTAACCAATCAAAAGGCTCATTCGAGATTCGAGATTCGAAATTCGAGTTTCGAGATACAAAATCCAGATTAACCAATCAAATGCGGGTTCAACATTGATTACCCCCCTTTATTATGTTTAATCTATCAATAAATCGTTTAAAATATTTATAACAAATGAGTCATTTGAATAAATTACAATGCAAGAAAGAGTGTTATATATATTAGAAAGAAAGTTAAATAATCATTTGATTTTTGATCAGCAAGGTATACTTCAATTTATATTATGACTTCTTAAATATTAAATAGAATACATAATCAGGAATATATATATTTTTGCATTGTCTACTGTATATAAAGGATTGTTGACATAATAATAAAGTTATAAATAGTGACTAAAGATTAACAAAATCCTTGTAGCCTTGATAAATAAAAACCGAGTATATTTTAGTCTTTGACCATAACGCTATGGTCAGAGAAAAAAATTAAAAATAACCTATTTCTGCAGCTAATTTGATTATTATACCTCTACTGATTTTTCACTATATTAAACTAAATGATATATTTTGCTAATTTCCTGAAAATCACCGTGAATAAACCAATTCCCTGCAAAAAAACTGATTCCCTAAAAAAAGTACGTTTTTTGATGAACTGATACACACCTATTCGGAACACTTAGGATTTTTTTTAATCAGACAAACTTAAAATGTTCCAAATAAACTCATGAATATTCATCAATGAACCGAAATGCATCGCGAGTCAACTGGTCCCATATCAATAAAAAAGAACAAGTTTACTGGTAGCAAACGAAGATTGAGCTCGAAAACTTGCGTAATGTTACTTTCGATTTTACTAGGTAAAAACTCGGACAATGAACTGATTTATTGATAAAATGGAATTCTATTCATGTCTGTATTCTTTTTTTTTATTTTTTATTTTTTCTGGGAATTTAAACATTTTACAGAATACAGTATTGAATATAACTTTTTCAAATGTTTTGTTTGTATTGGTATAATAAAACGGTTAAAGTATATCATTGAGGGAGTCAGCAAGATTCCAGTTCCCCTCAAGCAAGCCTATTTCCCTCGGCGCAAGCCCTCGGGAAATAGACTTACTCTTGGGGAACTAAAAGTTTTACTCCTAATAATACTTTTAAATGTATACTAATCTACTGTTTGATATCAGATAAAATGAATGCTGCATTTATTCTAATTCATATTTGCAATCTGTATTGTATATATAATTGTTAATTAGTTTAAAAATCAAAGCCTTTGATGAAGATAAGTAATTGAAAACTTTATTTTTAAAGTATTCCCTCTATTAGGAAAACGAGCGCGGTTTTTTTTTTCAAGGCTACCTTGCCTTTCAAATTTTTAAAGTAACATTTTCATGTGGGAAAAAGGAGGTGTTGCCCGGGGGGTTGGGGTTTTGTTAATCTTTTAAAACCCATTTATAATTGTATTATTATGTCAGCAACCCTTTATAAACAGTAGACAATGCAAAAATATATATATTTCTGATATATGTATTGTTTTAATATTTAAAAAGTCATAATATAAATTGAAGTATATCTTTGTCAAAAACAAATGATTATTTAACTTTCCTTCTAATATTTAAACTTTTTTTTGCATTGTAATTTATTAAAAAAAACCATTTTTTATAAATATATTTTAAAAGATTTATTGATAGATTAAACATAATAAAGGGGAGTAATAATGTTGAACCCCTTTTATTGGTTTAAACTGGATTTTAATCTCGAAACTCGAATTTCAATCTAATTTGAAATCAACTGAATGAGCTTTTTGATTGGTTAATCTGGATCTTTAATTCGAAACTGAATTTCAAAATTCGAATTTTGAATCTCGTATTTCGAAACTTGAATCTCGAATGAGCCTTCTGGGCTTTCGTAGAAAATGGTCATGCCAGGGACAAATGACATGAAAAAGCGGGGGGCAAAAAAGACAAACAAATCAAAAAGATAAAACTAGAAATCTATTAAATAATAACAAAGAGGCAATTAAACGCCCCGACTTTTTTAACATGGTCATAATTTTATTTTTATTAACATGCAAACTGTTGTTTCTATTTAAGCATATTTAGAATGTGATAACTACGAGGGTCGTTCAATAATTAATGCAATACACAGTATATCATATAAACTGTTGAGGCATTTGACATTATTTGTCCATAGTTGAAAAGTTCTGTTAAAGGGCTCCTAAACACAGAAATCCCCCTGTTTTCCTTTTGCCATCGCGAAGAAATTCAATTTAAAGTAAGGATGGTCACTACAATGAGCTGAAAATTGTTTATAAATGATCTCTGCCAAGAAATGAAAATAAGAGCGTATGTAAAAACTGTGCCTTTTACGTACATGTAAATGCCAAAAATATATTTTAAAATATAATTTTTATATGTAGAAAAAAAAAAATTTTTAACGCCGTATACCTTTCAGATGGATTCATTTATTAGAAGAAAAAAAGGAGAGTTTAAATATAACAGTCAATCTGGTTGATTGAAATTGTGGGGACACCAGAAAATATCGATGGGGCGTGCCATATGAAACTGAAAATGCTAGATTTACATGAAAAGACTGTTAAGATATTAAAAAATGTCAAAGCATTTTATAGAATTCTGACAAAGGAAAAAAATATAACAATATTTCTATCAGATAGGTGGCATATTTTCTTACCAATGCTTTAACATGAACACACGTGAAATGTCCCAAAGGTTTATTTAAAAGCGATTGTTTGTATAACAGATGGAAAATTTTATAAACTTCACTAACTTGCTTAATAAACGACAAAACTAGGTGCATTTTTATAGCCGAAAAATAAGATTAATTATAAAAATGTGGAACCAAAGGAAAGGGTGTCATTTAATTTTGATAAAGAGAAGTAAGGGCTCTAAACATGTTTTATTAGTTTTCGTATATTTAAAGAGGCCATTAAACATATACAAACATCCAAATGAAGGACTAGCAATGGTTACTTTTATGTTCAAATTGTACTAAGGACAGTTTTAAAAAAGATTT